CTGTGACTTAGTGAGTGTGTGATTCATTATTCTGTAATAAGGTCTCTCTGCTTCTCCAGCGGCCCTCTGGCAAACTCCGAAGCTCTTGGAGCGAGAGAGATGTGAGCCTTTGTTTGCATTTTGTTTTGCGGTTTTGTTTAGACGCTATTGTTCATGGGAGACCTTGGAGAAGTTGATGCAGAAGTGTCTCTGTCTGTAATTAGGCTTGTACTGTTTGTACTGGGGCACATCTGATGGACAGGCATGATGATGAGGGTTATGTGAGGTGAATTTCGAGATAAAGATGTGTGATTCTCTCATGTGACGAGTCCTCCCCAAAGGACTTTCCCATGATCCAGAAGCATGTTCTGAACATCTACCAGTCAACCTGAAATAAAGGAGCTACATCTAAAACATTTACACTTGATTGCACAGATTGTGTCCAGAACCTGAAAAATGCAGTATATGGAAGTAGGAAGTCATCCAGGCACATCTGAATCCATTATTTGTAGATCTGTTCATTTAAATGCCTCCATCTGGTAAATTCTGAAGGTAGCACAGATGTGTCCTTCCAAGCTTATGAATTCTGCTCTTGAAGCTCAGCAGACGGTTGAAAGAATAAAACAGGTGTCCAGTGGAGCTTTTGAAAAGTTTGTTAATTTATGAATTTATAAATATTGAAAAATTGTAAATAAAATGTGCACTTTTTGAAGTGATGTTATAGATGTTAATTATAATAAAACAAACTTTTTCCAAGTAAAATAGACACCTTTTTTTCTGTAGTATTTTATAAAATATACACTATTTTGTAGTTATTTTTTAATAAAATTATAAAATAAAACACATTTTTGTATTTATTTTTCAGAAAATTATAATAAAATGTACAGGTTTATTTTTGTAGTTATATTTCTGAAAATTACAATAAAATGTACACTTTATTTTTGTAGTAATTTTTCAAAAAAATATATAATATACACTATTTTTGAAGTGGTCTTTTAGGAAATTATATATTTTTTTACTTTTATTTTTGTCATGATTTTGTCTAAAAATTGTAATAAAGTATACTTTTATTTTGTAATCATTTTTCAAAATATGTACCACGTCACAGTCCTCATACCACTGGTGGTACCACCATTTCAGAATCACTGTTCTAGGTCATTAGATGTAATGTTACGATGCCTTGGAAGGCGGTCCGTAACCGGTTTCCATCATACTTAAACAATGTCTCTTAATTCATTGACTGACTGGGCAACGAGCGCGTTTGGTTTCAGACACAGGATACATTACAGTGGTCTGGTTTACTAACAGCAGAGATGCTTGTAATGAACTTTAGAATACCTGTGGTGAGTAATGTGTGACTTTTTGCATTCAGCCAGTTTGGCACAGACAGTATGGCGGCGTTGGAGCATTCCCTCAGGCGCTAGTTTGTCGTGGGTGCAGAACCGCTCGTGTTTATAAGAGGCTGACAGCTTCTTCCTGTATCCCAGGCCCTGAGCCCCAAGTCCTGGCCAAGGCCCTAGCAGCGCTCTCCCCCTGACTGAGTGGGAGAGCAGGCGTGGGAGGGAATCTTGAGTGGGGGGATGGGGCCCTGCTGCAGCCGTACTGCAGTCACTGAACACTTGAGCCCACTTGTTCTCTCCCTGCAAAGTCAGGCCAATGTAAACTCCCATTTCCTGCCTGGGACTTTGGGTGTCTCTGAGGGAGAGAGATGATCCTCATGTGAAGTAAGGCAAAGACACATCATACTTGTGCTCAAATTTAGTCATCCAAAGTTGAGAGAGAGCGAAAGAAAGGGAGTATAAGAGACACACATGAACCCTGAGAAAAGGGCTGGAATGTTAAACACATGCTTTATGGCAGCAGCAGCAGCCACTTTTGGTAAATTACAGTGAACATTCTGGCACTTGGGAACTCGCAGTGGGGAGCCAGACGTCTCATTATCCCTCAGGAACGACTATATGAAAGTGCATATTTAGTTTTCATTTCTTAGCACAGAATATGCACTAAAAATTGCTGCGGCTTGAATTACAGCAAACTCTCTGGCGGTGCATTGCTCTCTGGCGTGTTGGCTCACCATAACCTTTCCAGGATTGGAAATGTGCTTTTTTACGTGAATAAGGTTTGATGAATGAGATATTCTAGCATGTGGACTTTTTACCTGCTGACAAAGCAGATTTGAGCTTTATCAGGAATTTCTTCTTCAAAGATTCTCACAGCAACTCTGATAACGTCATCTCATTAGGCTGCCTCTCCCTCCCCTCTGGGCTTGTTACAAATCTACCACATGTAACTGTTCTGCTTCCATTTTATACAGATGTTTTCCTGTCAGTTTTCCAGAGCATTTAGAGGATTGCGTCCTTCCACTGTTGCAATGCTCCCCCCCAAGGATTACACCTCACTGTCATAAACTACATGTCAGCACCTGACACATGCATTCCAGAGATTGTGTTTGTCTGTGAGTGGTTGGGTGAGTAAATGGGAAGAATCTCCTCATACTAACTCTTTCAGACGTTCGGATTTGGGACAGCACATGGAAGGACTTACCTCATGCTCCACATATGCACCTACACTTACTATGAGAACTCACTCTTGCTCCTGACAGCAGCTGACTCACTGTCTGGATTCAACAGTTCAGTCTGATTAATGCAGACCTGCGTTTCCACTATAGCATTTGAGGGGCTTGCAGTACAAGTGCTGTTTGAGGATCCATTTTAGCTTTTCGCATCTTAATTCTTACTGCGTGGACAACAGAGTATGGAAGCCTGTATCCACCTCAAGAGTAAAAAATGAAAAAGGTTGTGCAAGAATACAACTGCAAGATACAAAAACAAATCATGAGATGCAAAGTCGCAAAAAAACACTGATATAGAGTTGCGATTGTGATGATAGAAAATTACATGGAGATTTAAAGTCACAATTACAAGATATGAAGTTGCGATTGTGAGATACAAAATCACGGTGAGATTTAAAGTCAGAATTATGAGATATAAATTTGCAATTGTGAGATGAAGTCACATGAGATCAAAAATCATATTGAAAGATTCGGTTACATTTATAAGAATCAATGTCACAATTGTAAGATATGAAGTCACACAAGATACAAAATCACATTGTGTAATTCAAAGTGAAAAGAAAACTAAACGCAATTGTGAGACATGAAGTGAGATATAAAGCTACATTGTGAGATATAAAGTTGCAGTTTTGAGATATGAAGTCACAATGTGAGGTATAAAGTAAATCGTATTGTGAGATAAATAATTAAATTGTGTGATAAATCGTGTGAGATTTAAAGTTGCAATTGTGAGACAAATCTGCATTTTGAAAAATTAAGCCCCATTGCGAGATAAAAGCTCACAATCGTGATACAAAAACAATGTGAGATTCAAAGTCATAATGTGATGTATAAATTTGCAATTGCTAGATACGAAGTCCCATCGTGAGATATAAAGTTGCTTTTTATTATTATTATTATTCAAAGGTGGAAACAGGATTCCATAGCAGATATCAGATCCTAGTTCGGTATGATTATTGAGGCATTACAGTTACACAGGCCAGGTTTAGAGGTCAGCAGATAGACCCGCTTTAAATCAATGCAGCATACACACGCAACTCTTCCAACGCTCAAAAGCAAAGCTTCCAACATGAAAATATTTATGTAAGACATTCCATCAGTTTGCCTTGCAGCAATTCCTCCAGAGGCAAAGTTACAGTTTGAACAAACACAGAACGCTCAGATGACTAAAACACCATAAGGCCATAATGACATCTTTATGTCTTGTATATAAAAACAGAGCATACACATAAAGATCAACACACATCTGTATGCGTAAGCAGACCGTTCTGGATAAACCGTTTTGTTTACAGAGAGTGAGCGGGAGTGTGTGCGTGCAGTAGGACAGGTGTGTGGGGCAGGTGCATGCAGTTGTCCCTGTGCTGTCATAGTGCATTCACCTGCTCACATGCCACCCAGCAAACATCACAGTTACAAACCAGCGAGTCACTCCTATTCATGGGAAATGAAGCACCGCTCTTCCTAATAATGCATTTCAACAGCTTCAAATAGTATGAGCCATCAGATTACACCGAAGTTGTGTCCCAAATGACGTACTATATACTATGCACTATGTACTCAAACTAATTTGGAGAAATTTAGCATTGCTTCACTTGTTCACCAATGGATCCTCAGAGTGCAAACAGCTGATAAAAACCACCATAATCCACACGATTCCAATTCCTCAATGAACAATACATTCAAAAGACATTAATTCATCAATTCATGAGACATTAATTGATCGACTGGAGGATTACTTGCAGATTACTGTGATGCTTTTATCAGCTGTTTGCGCTCTCATTCTGACGGCACCCATTCACTGCAGAGGATCCATTTGTGAGTCTTTTCCCCCCATTTTTTCATAACTGTTCCGAATCCAAAATGAGTGAGCATGACTCCTTTGTATAAACTTAAATTATTTTATTGGAAATTGATTTGGACAAATAAAAAGAGACATGAAATATGAAAAAAAAGGGATGCTAAAAAAATTGCACTGAACTTATTAAATTTTAAGAAAACATTTCATGCACAAATTGTAACATCAATAAATTGTTACATATTATAGTCAATACGTCCACAAGAATAGTGGACAGCATATGAAAAAACATTGTTGGCTATTTACTGAGAAAGTCCTATTCTTCACATCAGATAAAAATACAGAAGTGTTGAACGTCATCACTTGAAAAAACACTGAGGTACAAAAAAACTTTAAATTACCAAAAGTAGAATGGCTTTGGTTTCAATGGTCCAATCATTCGTTTTAATAATGCAAAACGACAGGACTTCAATACTCTTTGGTAAACTGGAGTGCATTTTAAAACTCAGTCCCTGTACAACAAAAGGAAAAGTGATAAAGGAGAGTAAAAAAAAAAAAATTACGTGGTGAAAAGAACAAACATTAGTAAAAACAAGTGATGGACCTTGTGCATGCAGGTTAAAACCCACTAAAACCATCTTTTAAATTTAAAACTCAGTCCCTGTACAACAAAAGGAAAAGTGATAAAGGAGAGTAAAAAAAAAAAATTACGTGGTGAAAAGAACAAACATTAGTAAAAACAAGTGATGGACCTTGTGCATGCAGGTTAAAACCCACTAAAACCAACTTTTAAGAAAAACAACACGGTCAACTGTGGTCCATCACGACTCTCTCCAAGTGTGTTTCTAGAGAACTCGGTAGACGCCACCTGTTATCAGAGATGTGACGTTCAGGGCCAGGGCACCTGTTAGCACACTGCCTCGGCACCACGTAACAGCTGTCTGTCTGTGTGCTTATGTTTGCGCGTGTGTGTGTGTGTGTGCGTCATGCTGAGAGACATACCCTACATGTGAGCCCACCCCCAACCTGACAGCAGTTGTCCCTGGTTCAGGACTCCTAGCTGAACAGCTATTATACTTTAAACATTCATAATTCCTTCATTTAGTTTGGAAAAAAGTCTGTGGCATTTGGAAATGTATTGACCTTGTTATGTTTAAGAAGTCCGCTGAAATGTCACGTCATCCTTCTCCTGTCGCATATTGCATCTACGTGAGAGTGATGCGCACTGTCATTATTATCTCACAAGGCACCGTGTCTGAATTAAAATAAAATGGCTCCTGCGGACCCTGTGTGCTCAGGCCGTGGAGGGACAGCAGCCAGCCGCACTGTGTTTCTGCAGCAAGGACATGCGGCTGAAGGTTCGAGAACAGGTGCTGCACTGGTATTTCTTCACATCTGCGTGGGTCTGCAGGTGTGCGCGCAGGTTAGAACGGTCCGCGAAGGCACGGTTACAGTGTGGGCAGGAGAACGGACGCTCACCTGTGGGAAAAAGAGAGAGAGATTAAAACTACAGTTAAATGTATGCATTGTAATCATAAATGTCCTTTCTAAAAGTAAATATTCTTGTAAAAAAAAACAATACTAGCGCAATAGCTAACAGTCACATGGTAAACTGATTGAATCAATCACAAGTACACAAAATAAGTGGCTACTCAGCAAGGATGATAACAAGTGCTCCCTAGCATTCTTGATCACTTATCTCTGCTCTCACACTAGTGATTGATAAGATTGTCCTATTGTGTCATTGTTGAGGTCAACACAATGAGTGATCAATGAAAAGCAATTCTACTGAGGGCAAGCTCACATGACTGAGTGAATCACTAAGCTAACGGTACTGCATTAATGAAATTATTGAGAAACATTTTAGAGACTTCCAAAGAAAAATGTAAGATATTTACTTTGACACACCTTAAAATTATTATAAAAAACACTTAAGAGAAAAAATTGTGGACCCCCTGAAATTCCAAAGCAAAAATAGAAGATATTTACTCTGATACATTTTTCTAAAAACGGAATTAAAAAAGGAAAATTCTCAAGGAAACTGGAAGACATTTACTCAGCTACATCTTTAAATAAAACAGCAAAAGAGATCAAAAAATCTTAAAATAAATATTTTGAAAAACTATTTTTCTATAATAGTTCTATTAAACTATAATTTTTTAGAAATAAATTAAATTTTCAAACTTTTCATGCAAATCAGCATGAACCAAATTTGATGTTACTAACTGATGAAATAAGCCTTAAAGTGAGAAAACATTTTGTACGTTTGAATTACCTGTATGCGTGCGAATGTGTCCTCTTAACAGCCAGGGTCGCGAGAAGGCCTTTCCACAGGTGGGACAGACGCATGGTAGTGTGTGTGAGCGGATGTGCATCTTCAGGGCACCGAGACTGTTGTATTCTTTGGGACAGTGCTTGCAGAAGAATGCCGGTCGAGTGGCTGGGACAGTGGCCTCGCTCTTGTCCTCTCTCTGTCCTGCCCTGTTCTTGTTGCTGCGCCTCGGCCTGCTAGTCTGTTGGGGGTGGTAGGTGTCTGAGGAATCTGGGCTCGGTGGGTCAGACGTGCGTCCTTCATCTTCTTCCCCACTGCTGCTGCAGCTGACGCTAGACGGGGAGCTGAGGTCCAGCGGGCCCTGGCTAGTGGAAAGAGTGGATGGGGATGTGGGATTGTGTAGAGAAGGTAGCAAGCTGACGTCCCAAACCAGACCAGTGGTCAAGCAAGTTACTGGGAAGTCACTGGTGACTGCTGGAAGTTCTGCTAGTGGGTATCTGTCTGGCAAAGTATCTGATGGGTGAGAGAGAAAATCAAAATAAGTTCCTAATGTATTTACAGCCATTATAGACATGTGGCTACAGACTTGATAGTTTGCAATATAAGTGATTGCCAATGAAAAGCACATGATACAAGTAGAAACTCGGAAAACACATGTGCATCTCGCATGCAACCAGGTCCAATGAAGAAAAGGAGTGGTGTGCTTTTCTTATGTGTGTGCGTATATATATATATATATATATATATATAAGTGTTTAGGAGGCAAGTCGAATTCCACTTAAAGTAACATAACTTTTAACTTATTATTAGTAAAACTTTCCCAGGATTGAAAAATGTAGTGTAGTGGAAACATTTTATTTTATTTTTTTAAATCGCTACGTCATCGGAATTGTACAAAACTCGGTGACTTTTATGGCAGTCGCTGTGCCCAAAAAAAAGTCATATTTGTCTTGTTCGCGGTCAAAAATGACCGCAATTGGAAGTGAATGTGAAATACGCAAAAATATGAAAATACAGAGAAATTTTTAGAGTCAGAAAAAAGTGCACTTCAATGAAGGGGTGACACTCAAAAATATCAAGAGTGCAAAATAGACACACTCCACCCATGAACATAGCATGTAACATAAAGCATGTTTTTGCAAATGCGTGAAATAAAATCAATAATTCAGCCACAATGCAGTAAAAAACACAGACACCAAGGAAGGGGTTACACTTTAAAACATAAAAAAATACAAAACAGATACACACACACACACTCACAGACACACAACACACTATTATACACACACAAGGGAAGTGGTGTGGCTGTAACAATATGGCAAAACTGAGCCAGAAGACTCAAATAAGAGGTTGAAATCAGATTGATTAACCTCTGATAAAGCTTTTCATTTTGATGTTATGTGTAACAAAATGTCTTTCCCTGTGTTCCGGTCTGACTGTAGTAAAATTAATGCAGAAAAATGTGAGGATTTTGTTTGTGGACTTTAGCTCCTCTTTCGACACCATCATCCCAGGACACTCACATTGACTCCACTGTTAAAAAGGCCCAGCAGAGGTTGTACTTCCTTCGCCAGCTGAGGAAATTCAACCTGCCACAGGAGCTGCTGAAACAGTTCTACTCAGCCGTCATCGAGTCTGTTCTGTGCACTTCAATAACTGTCTGGTTTGGTTCAGCTACAAAATCAGACATCAGAAGACTACAGAGAATGGTTTGGACTGCTGAAAGGATTATTGGTGCCCCCCTGCCTACCCTCCAAGAACTGTATACATCCAGAGTGAGGAAAAGGGCTCAGAAAATCACTCTGGATCCATCACATCCAAGCCATCTCCTTTTTGAACTTTTGCCATCTGGTCGGCGTTACAGAGCACCGAATACCAGGCCAGCCAGGCACAAGAACAGTTTCTTTACCCAGGCAATATACCTCATGAACAGTTAATGTTCTCCCATTGTGCAATTAAAGTATGTGCAATAACCTTATACTTATTTATCACCCTAAATCCTAGTACATCCCTACAACTTTATTTTATTTTATTCTATTCCTATTCTATCTATAGCACACCTGTATATACAATTTATTATTTTTTTGTGGTTTATATTTATGCATGTGTATTTTATTCACATCTTATTTTTTATTATCTGTGTGTTGTTGTTGTCTCCGTGTACTGGAAGCTTGTGACACTATAACAAATTCCTTGTATGTGCAAACATACTTGACAATAAAGCTCTTTCTGATTCTGATTCTGATTCTGAAACTGACATTTCAAAACAACATTAAAAAAAATCTAAACCTTTACAAAAAGATGTCTTTGATAATGTCTAAATATTTATCCAAATCCACAACTTAATAAAAACAAGTATTTATGTCTAAACACAACGAGAGAATTTATAAGCCTTTTACATAAATCTATATATAGGAATCTAGTGGCTAAACCATGGAATTGCAGATGTTTTTATTTTTTTACTCCCACCAGATGGCACTAATCTGCTTTCAAAAATTGGGATTTTAAAGGCATTGTCTTTGAAAAACTCCCATAATTGAAAGAAAAGTAATATAAAAATATTAGAAAAAAATATTATTTTCAATGGGAAAAATAATTGAAAATAAAATAAGTATCATAATTATTGCATAAATATTCATTAGTACCGTGAAATTCTCTCAAAATACAAAATGAAAATGAAAAAATATTATTGAACAAAAATATATTACATTGATTTTACTGAAAATAAAATAAAATTACATTTCAGTCACTTTTGACCCGAACAACACGTGTGAACGAAATGCGTTCGTTTTAATTAAGTTAGCTGCAGGAAAGTTATAGGTACTTATCAAAATTAGTGGAGAAGGTGCCATTAAAGTGAATAAAGACTCATTTGCTAAATAATGCGGAAAGATATTGTAAGATGTTGCACCATTCTGATGTAATGCTGAATGTTAGGGGCATTTAGCCTCTGTCACTATTGACTTTCATTGCATCTTTTCCATACAATGTTAGTGAATAGTAATATTCGTAATATTCCCTTTTTTGTGTTCCACAGAAGATAGCAAGCCATACTGGTTTGGAACCAAAGGCACATTTTAATTTCTGAGTGAACTATCCCTTTAAAAACTCCTTGTTCATACTCAGTTGCTGCGGCAGATTCTGCGGTTTTCAAATTTTGTTACTACGCCCCTCAACATGTCAAACTACATTTCTCCACGACTGAACTGGAATCAGTTTGACTAACGGTCGACCAATGAGTTTTATAGTATTTTGTTAAAAACTGTTCCCAGGTCTGTTATAGATGAAAAACGGATAACACGCCCAGTTTAAATTATGGCTCCACCCATCGGTTTGTGTATGAATCGTATTGGACAAGCGCGCAGATGTGGGCGGGGCTACACCACTGGGCTTTTTGTTTTTATAATCAGCTGTTCGTTGGGATCTGTACTGCGGTGCTATAATTTACGTGGAACAATTTCCAAAAGCTAAAAGAAACTAAACAAAAGAGCATATATTCTGCACCTCTACCTCGGAATAAACAACTAAAGATTTTTTTAAACGATTTAGACGTCGGAAAATCGGTTGCTCTGTAAAGAAGCAGGTAGTATGTTTTGCTTAAGCCTCTATTTAAACTGCGAGAAAATCTGTAACGTTATATTCCCAAATTTGTTTTATTTGTAAATATGTATGTATAGAAATGTGTATAAATGCATACATGCTCACATCATATTTCTTAATGATAATCGAAGCTTATAACGCTACTTCATCAGAATCAGAATGAGCTTTATTAATTAATTCAGTAATGTTTACAGTATTTTTCATTTACATTTCCTCTACAGGACATTTTGTTTTAGTGTGTATTGGTAGCCTATTGCACAAACGGATAAATAAGTGGCCCTTGTGTTTTCCTCGACATGTCTTTCTAAATGATTAGTGTTCAAGGAGAGGGAGCAAAACAAACTACCCCAAAAAAATCATCCTCTACAAACGGTTCTTTGATAAATGCTACTGAATGAACCCTGCATAAAAAGCATCGAAATTAAACCATTTCCACATGATGCAGATGCTGTGTTCTCAGAGAAAATGAATGTATTGTTTTAATGGCACACCCCCCAGCTGGAGGACGACAGATGGACGCCAACAATGGAGCTGGGGTCCAACAATGCACTCCCAAAATTCAGTTCATCCATCTTTGTGGCCATATGAACAAATATCTCCAGATATAGGTTTTACATGGCAGTCACGTTTTGAACATATCTTTAACTAAAGAAGCATATATATTTCTGCTAAAAAATACAATGTAATCTGAATTTTTTTTATTTCTAACTGTGCATGGATGGGTGAAAAGCCATTGTATTTGGAAGCTTGTCTTTCCTTTTTTATATTTATCACTACTTTACGGTTGCAGGGCCTAAAAAATTAAATTTCAAAATGAAGCCTGACAGAGGAGTGCTTTATGGAAGACTGACCTCAATATGAGATATGAGCCTAAAATAGCTTTTAGCCTGGTTTTTATTCAAGTCTTGATTAGTGGGTATAATTCAAAACAGGGACTGCATCATAGTGTTCACATTTATACTAACATTTCTCCTCTACCCAAGGTCTGGCTGAAGTCATACTGCTGAGATCTGCTCGTAACATCTGCCAGAGTGAAGAATTGTGAGACTCGTGTACCAGACAATTGAGTTCACCATCAATTATTCAGTACAATCACACTTAATTTATAACAATGTTTCAACGGCTCACAAACCTGCTCTTTGGAAACGTGAATGAAACGACTCAGGAACCAACTGTACCAAAACCAGGGTCTCCAGAAATGGATGAGGAGGGCTGGCTCCTGGTCAATGCAGCTGGTGAGTACAGCGTCACAAATGTTTTTAATTGATATGAAAACCCTGTAAAGACTGACATATGAAATAATTGTCAGAAAAGTCAGAAGAGCATCATATTGGATTGATCATTCTTTTATAACATACACTATAAGAGAATGTGGAGCTTACTTAAGGAGGAAAAAACACGCTTCAATTTTACTCAGAAGCCCAAACTGAGCAAAATATGTAACTTTTGCAGCTGCTGATATTTATATGTAGGCTATACAGTATACAGTATGCTTTATTGGGTTAAAATACAGTGCAAATAATTTAGGGGCTGCAAGTAATGTGATCTGAATAATTTGCATTCACTTAAATGGATAATTCACAGAAAATGAACATTGTCGTCATTTTTTGTTTTGTTTTTTTGTTTGTTTGGTCCATACAGTAAAAGTCTGTGTAATACAGTGTTGTTTTGGACGCTGACTTACATTGTGTAGGCAAAACATTCTTCAAAATATTTTTTTATTAAAGGGGTCATATGATGCGATAAAAAATTTTCCTTTCTCTTTGGAGTGTTACAAGCTCTTGGTGCATAAAGAAGATCTGTAAAGTTGCAAAGACTAAAGTCTCAAAATAAGAATATGAGATATTCTTTATAAAAGTTAAGAGTTAACCAAGCCTACCTAAAACGGCTCATTCTAACACGCCCCCACATATCTACCTCACTATGTGGGAAGATTTGCATAACGCCACCCAAATGTTCATGCAAAGAAAGAAGGCGTAA